CTCCGTGTTTTTGTAATGAGGAAGGCTTTTATATTTCTCCCACGGTTGCTCCATCAGTTACATAAAGAGATCTTACATCATGTATGTCATGTAAATGCAAATGTTATGACATGTCGAGACTCTTTAAGATGGATTTGCCCTCCAGGAAGACCTTAGAAGAAGGAAAGAAAGGGGGGACGTGGAGCATTTCTGTCCCTTATAGATTTGATTTCTCATATCCTGTCTAACAAAATAGGGACCAAGCAAGCTGTTGTTGTTATTGTTCCTCGGTTTACATGAATTTCCTGTTTAAATCTAATTGGTTATTAGAAATAATAAGGCTCTATTCCCTGTGAGTCTATAACTGTATGGTTAAAGTTTACTCCTCCTGGTGGATGAGCTTCATTTGAACTATTTCGAAACTCTCTGGAAACATTAGTTTAGGCACCAGTTTTTTTGGTATATTTTATGTTTTCATAGTTGTGAGGAATGTTTGGCACAGTCACAAAATAGATGCTGGCTTCCTGTCTGTCGTCCAACTGCTCGATGGACTGAATCTTAACATGTAGCTAACGCTGGTGAAAAAGGCTTGATCTCATTTTGCAAAGCAGTCTAGAAGAAAGTTTAAAAAAAGAAGGATTTGAACCGACGCTAGAACGTTCAGCAGGGCTGATCTGGAGCTCTGAGAGCTCGGATGTTGTCAGGAAGCTGTTGAATAGTGGCTTGTTTAGCAGAACTCGGACCTCAAGTGTCCTATAACGCGCCATTTGTTGATCTGTGTGCACGTTAGAGCTCTTAGAAACTCAGTAAAAGCTGCTTTATGGGATTATTCTTTAGTTGGATACCTGAGAATAAACCAGAGTAGGCCCAAAGTAGAAAATAACATTTATTTGACACAGTTAAGTATATAGAGCTGGGCTCTAACAGACAAAAACCTCTCTCTGGGTCTCAAAGAGCCCTGAGATCTGGGTGATGGGCATTATCTCCTGGGCTCGATCCGCCTCCTCAAAGGAGGACTGGACACAACCAAGTCCTATTGGCCAGTTACCTCTGGGCAGGAACAGGCCAGGTCCTAATTCATGTAGATGACAGGAATGTGGTAACAAATGGTTTGTGTTGACCTAAAGGTGTGGAACAAAGAAAGAAAACGAGAGAAAAAGGGAGAATTTGTGGTTGCAGCCAAAGAATTTAACATAAAAGTATAGTTCTAAAAGGAAAAGGAAAAACCTTTAATTCTGTTTAATTTTACTTCTGTTTAGGTAGTTAAAATATACTTCTGTTTGCAAAGAACCACATTAAAATGAATTGTTTGGAAGGAAGACTGGACATAACCAAGTCCTATTGGCTAGTTACCTCTGGGCATGAACAGGCCAGGTCCTAATTCATGCAGACGACATTAGAATGTGGTAACAAATGGTGTGTGTGTGTGTTGACCTAAAGACGTGGACCTAATGCAATAGAGACTTTGACACAAAAATATAGTTCTATAAGGAATACAACAATCAGTAATTGACATAGATCATGTGATAGCATACAATGCTAAAATGAGTCATTATAGCCAGGTCTGGTCCCGCGGGCCGAAACCCTAAACGGAGCCGGAACATAATGGAGGCAGTGTTCAGGAGCCACACCTTAATTCCAGGCCTCTTTGGGCTTCTGTCCTGCAGGTTTTAGAGCTTTTTTCCCTGGTTCTACACACCTGATTCTCATCAACACGACATGAGGAGTCCAGTTCAGATCTGAACCATCTTTAGGAAGTATCAGTTTGATCTGAATCAGGTGTATAGAAGCAGGGAAAACCTCTAAAAACCGGCAGGAAAGCGGCCCAGAACAATGGGGCTCAGGAGATTAACCCACCGTTTAATTTCAGACAGCACCTGGAGGATTAGAGAGAAACCCGCTCTGCCCGTGGAAACACGGCAAATATTCCCTTTTTGGATTCTGACCCACAGACGGCCGTCGTCCATAAGGCCTCCGTTCAGTCTTTCAGCTGGTTTGACCACATTTTATTTATTTTTTCCAATATATTTATTGATTTTTTGCATTGCATACAGAACATTAACACATAACACCCCCCCCCACACACACAGACCTAGGCTAAACCTGCAAATTCCACCTATGTACAACTTAGCTTAAGAAATATATACATTTGAAATCAAGTACTCCAATGTAATAAGGATCCCAATTAAAAATATAATGAAAAACAAATAAATAAAACATTTAAAAAAAAAGATTTGACCACATTTTAAGATTCAACGAGCACGATATCAGCCTTTAAAGCTATCCTGGGCGGCGGCCCGGTGCCACATTTTTAGTATTTGTCCAACTTTTATTGGTTTATCTGAACCCACGGGACTGGAGTAACTGGAATATGTGGTTAATGATTCCATCAGGGCCACATTTAGGTGCAGATCCACCAACATCGTGTCTCAACATCGTTTAAAAGGCTCATAAACCTGCTGACTCTGCTGAACTCTTATGAGAGGAGGCTCCACTAACACACACCACCAAAAATCCCGTTTGGATCCAGGCGTCTTTGACCCTCACACTCAGCTCTAAAACAAGTTTTACTTCACTTAAAGGAGGTGGACACATTAAATGACCACTGTCTTTAGCATGTTCCTGCATGAGTCCTATCTGCTTGCAGCAAAAAAACGCCTCGTCGGCACATTTTGAGGAGAAGGGAAGTCTCTGTTGGACAACAATTACACAACAATCTCTCTCAAATCTTGTAAGAAACTGATTTTTTAAGGAAATGTGGGTGAAGATCCTCAGTCTTATAGGTTATATTAGACCTAAGAGCAGTTGGAAAGGCAGCTGGACTTCTTCTTCCTCTTCTTCTAGTTGTCTTTACTCCAGATTTTAGGATTCATGAGGATGGAAACAGCTGCAAATGGACCTCTTTGTCCACATGAATCAGACACTCGTACCTCCTTAGACACGTTTCTATCTATTCAGTGGGCAGGCTTTATGTAAATATCTTACGTGATGGGGCCGTTAGGTAAACAAGAGTAAAGCCGGGACATGAGGAGAGGTTCCTTAAGCGGTCCAGGTTGTGTTTTCTCTCCCACAAAGCGCAGAAACGCTGTCGAACCTTCCAGGCAGCTCCCTCTGCTCCATTTTACCTGACCCATTTCCTACCCTGATTAGACGAAAATAAAAACCTCGTTCTCCGGGCGACGAAACTCCGCTCCTTCCTCGGTTAGATGGACGATGTAAAGAAAAATATTGGCTCTGATGGAATGGTTTAGGTCTAAAACAACTCATCAAATCAAATAATTTATGTCCATAACAACTGTCCAAACGCCATACAAATGTCCTGTTTAAATCCAATTGGTTATTAGAAATAAAGAAGGCTTTATTCCCTATGAGTCTATAACTGTATGGTTGAAGTAATTTGACTCCTCTTGGTAGATGAGGTTATTTTGAACTATTTTTTTTTAACTATACCTCTCTGGAAACATTAGTTTAGTGACCAGTTTTTTTGGTACACAGTTCGTTTTCAAAGTTGTGACGAATGTTTTGGATTGATGGATTGAATCTTAACATGTAGCTAACGCTAGGAATGGAAATGAGACCATTTGAAAAGGGCTTGATCTCACTTAGCAAAGCAGTCTAGAAGAAATTTAAAAGAAAAGAAGGATTTGAACCGACCACCTGGACGTTCATCAGAGCTGAACTGGAGCTCTGAGAGCTCGGACGTTGTCGGGAAGTTGTTAAATGTTAAATAGTTGCTCGTTCAGCAGAACTCGAACACTAAGTGGTGGTTAGATGGTGTCTGCCTCTGGTCGGCTCTAATCTGTTTGGCTTATCAGCTCCTCCAACCGCGCCGACGACACTGTACACTGACGTCCTTCCCCGGGATTAAGCGGGAGGACGGACGGCGGTGGTGGTGGCGCTGTAAATACCGAGAGGGAGGCTGGTTGCCGGGGGCCGGTTGCCGGGGGCCGCTCATTCATGCTGTCAGCCCCGGTTAAGCGCTCGTCATAATCCCATTAAACTGTGACCTGGTGAGCAGACAAGGAGCTGTCAGAGTCAGACAGGGAGGATATGAGCAGGAGGGGGGGGGGCTGTACCATCCAACACCCCCCTCCACATCCCTCCCCCCCCATCCCTTCCTTTTGGTTGGTTGATTGTATCTGTGCACACCTGTATAGAGGAGTTTTACGTCCCCTGTGGGGGGGGCCTTTTTACCCTCTTCCCGCAACCATTTTCCAGATTTATCTTTATTTTTTGAAGGAAAAGGTGCGCATCTAGATGGGCTGCCCCTGTCTGTTTATGTCTGTTGTGTTTTTTTTTATATATATAATTTTTATTTTTAACCGTTTCTACAGTATCAAACATATATGAGCACAAGCATAAACATATATGGGAAGCATGCCAATATTCATAAGACGAGGTTTTAAGTACAGAAACGTATCGCTCATATTAAAAAATCTGACCGTAAAGGTTTTATGCACTCAGTCCATTTAGTCCAGATTTTGTGAAACATGTCCTTTAGCATCCTGAGGGAAAAAGACGACTTTTCCATGACGTATATTTCGTGTATTATATTGATCCAATCATCAATAGTTGGAGATTCCACTCCACTTTCTTGTGATGGCCTTTTTCCTTGCACTAAGTAACATACCAAGTAATCTTTTATCAGTGTTATACAGTGGGGGAAATAAGTATTTGACCCCTTGCTGATTTTGCAGGTTTGCCCACTTACAAAGAATGCTTATTTTTCCTGATCAGATGGTTATCAATTTTTTATAAATTCATATGATGTGATTTTCTGTAATTTTCTTTGGGATTCTGTCTTTCACTGTTAGAATGTACATATGATTAAAGTTATAGATCGTTGCATTCTTTGTAAGTGGGCAAACCTGCAAAATCAGCAAGGGGTCAAATACTTATTTCCCCCACTGTATATGTCTGTTGTTGGACGGGTTGTCCTTAAAAAATGTTGAATTTCATCGTACTGATTGATCGTTTGACTGATGTTCTGACCTGTTTCCCCGTCTCCAGGCGGATCCGTGATGGGTGTGAAGATGCTCCAGTGTTTCCCGTTCTACAGACGCTGCAAAGAGCGCTGCAAGAGCCGGCAGTGCCCCCCGGCGGCAGGTCAGCAGAATCCTCTGGACCGGCAGAAAAAATCTGACCAAAGGCCAGAATAAGCCTGACTCTGTGTGCTTTTTTTCCCCTCCTCCCACAGTTCCCATAGAGGATATGAAGCCGCGTTTGTCCTCGACCACCTCCTGGAGCAGCGACAGCGAGGGGGCGGGAAGCCTGAGTCGGGGGTCCCAGATCTACTTTTCCTCCAAGGCCCGATTGTCATTTCGGCACCAGCTGGACAGCAACATCAACGCTGTGGACGCCACCTACTGACCCCCTACTAAACCCCAGACCCAGAACTCTGGCTGAACGAATCAGAAGAAGGACAAAAACTAAACTAAAAAACAAAAGAGACTGACCGGAGATCAGCCGATCCGTTTACAGTGTTCAACGCCAAGAAGTGCTTTACCGTTCCTTCTTTTTTTTTTTTTTTCCCTTTTGAAGTTCGTTTTTTTTCCTTATTCGCTCTTTTTCTCAGCGGGATTACGTCATCTTATGTAAATAAAACTGAAAGAGAGACTTGATGAGCCGATATAAAAAGAAAAGGCTGCTTTCTTTAGCGGGAGTGAACCCGTTTAGAAATCCACTAGTCACTTTTTTTTGGAGTAACCGGACGCTTTTTGATACACTCACAACTTGTTTTTTCACACTAACGCGGGTTCGCTTTCACCGTTTTAACGCTAAACTACTTGAGAGGAAAAGCACTTGCTTCTTTTTTGTTTTTTTAACTTTGAGGGGTTATACTGACACTGTGTATGCGGATACTTTAGTGTGAAACTCTGAATGAGTTTTTTTACTCGACTCCTTTCGGCATTTTTCACCGTTTAGTTCTGCTTCTGAGCTGAATGGAGGACTGCAGACGCAGGCTTGCAAAGGCCACATATGAATGTAAATGATTAAAAAGAAAAACGGTGTTTCTATCAGAGAGCTTTCCTGTTTTTAATCCATCTTTACTTGATGTTTTGTGGGGGATTCTGCACAAAAATAAGATGCAAAAATAATCACTTTAAATCAAAACTGAGACGATGCAACTGGCTGAAAGTGTTTATTTAAAAAAAAAAAAAAGAGATATTTACAAGTATAAAAGAAGTCCGGAGACGAGCAGGTTTGTCTCAGGGTTTGGAGATGACGCCGTCGGGGTACCGGCTCTTAAACCGGGCCACCACCTCCGGGTCCAGCAGGTGGATGCCGTCCAGCTGGTTCCCCAGGGTGATCCTGTGTGGGAGGTCAAAGGTCAGAGAGGGCCGAACGGCTCCGAAACCGGTTTCTGGGACCGGGCGGGCGACTTACCAGTTGGGCTGAACGTTGTGGGGCCGCCCGAACAGCTCGATCTTCCTGGTTCCCGGAGAGAGCCGCTCGATCATCCCGTAGATCTCGTCCGGTTTGTGGCTGGTGGAGCGGACCTGAACCGGAGCGGTGGGGGGGCGGTTAGTTGTTTATTAGTTGTTTGTTTTTTTGTTTGTGTTTTCTTACCTCAGCCACGATGACGTCGCAGTCCAGCCCTCTGTTGAAGCCCTGCGTGTTCCCTTTGAACCCCACCTGTCACAAACAGCTGGAATTACTCATTTTTAACTCATTGGCTGCCAAAGACGTCTATAGACGTCAATTCATATACAACCGTTGACTGCCAAAGACGTCTATAGACGTCTTTTATGTTTTTCAACGCGAGTGGCTGGGGGACGATCTGCTAAAGCTTGTCCGTAAATATCAGGCTTCCAGACAGAGTATGTAGTAACAAATTGACCCTCTAGGTGGCAGTGCCATTTTTGATGGGAGATGAGCATAGATTGTAGGCAAATAAGAAAAAGGTAACGGTTCGATATGAGAGAACATGTCGCCGGTGAGACGCAAGTCGAGGAAGAACGGAATAAGGTAGAAACAAAAAAATTTTTCCTGATGAAAGAAGAGAGTCTACTCTTTCTTTTGGTGTGTTCGGTGGGGGGGGGCTCTTTTCCGTGGGACCTACCAGGCAGTGCTCCTTCCCGTGGTTCAGCCAGTGGCCCGTTCGGCCCGTGCGGATGATCCTCTGGAGCTGGTTGGTTTTGACCCAGATGATCTCGTCCACGCGCTCGTAGCTGAGAGGGGAAAGTATCAGACCAGAGCAAAAGGTGAGACCAGAGGGGGGGGAAATAAAAGACAAGGAGGTGTGAAGAGACGACTCACCCCCAGAGGCTGAGACACTCTCGGCCCAGCTCCATGGCCCTGAGAAGGGAGAACACAAGTGGGTTAGAACAAAAACAGACTGAATTTAGGAAGTTCTCCCTCTGGTTCTTCAGAGGGAGAATAGAAAAAGTTGTCACTTAAACTTGTTTCGGGGTGTTCTCACAGACTTGAACTGTTTTTGTTTGAATTTGGTTTAACATTTTCTGTTCTCCCTCTGAAGAACCAGAGGTAGAACCAGTTAGAACTAGGGTTGTCAAAAGTATCGCTACTCAAAAAAGTATAGATACTAAACCCTATGATCATTAACAAGACCTTAGCCTTGAACTGCTAGCTGTGGCTAATGGCTAATAATAACATGCCACCCTTAATCAAATACATATCCAACTCCGCCCACATCCAAGTCGGCCATTTTGATTACGTCACCAATAGAAAGATCCCAGGCAAGAAAATCGTAATTGCTTCATGGCAATATAGACATTAATTCAAAAATAGTATAATGGATCTTTCAAACACTGAATTAAACTCTATACATATTATGTTAAAATAGTGTATGTTTAATAGGTTTGTACATTAAGTCCAAACAAGTTTAACCAAAAAATATTTATTTCCTACTATTATGAAGGCTGGAGGGTTAGGATTCGGGTAATTAATGTGGTCAACCAGTCACGATAACATCAGTAACAGGTCACTTTGAAATGAAAGACACAATTCAGTTAAATTTGTTTTTATCCTTGTGGTATCGAAAATGGTATCGAGTATTTTCCTGAGTATCGGTATCGAGTTGAAAATTTTAGTATCGTGACAACCCGAAAAAAGTTTAAGTGACAGCCCTTTTTCTTAGGGAAGTCTCAGTTTGGGGGACGTTACCTGCCGGTGACCCAGAGGAAGAGGAAGCCGTCTTCCTGCAGGGCGGGGATGCTGAGCTTCCTCATCTCGTCGTCGGTCAGGGTGCCGTAGGGCAGCTCCATGTGGATATCCCAGGGCGGGTCGGCCATCACCACCGCAAACTTCCCCAGGATGGACACGTCCAGGAAGCGGATGTCGCAGCAGATCCACTAAAAAGTCCAAAAGTTAGCGACTAGGGTTGTCAAAAGTATCGATACTTAAAAAAATATCGATACTAAAATGTTGTATCCGGATACGATACTCATTTTCAAAAGTATCGATACCACCCCCCCTTCTCTCAGATTTTTTTACTTTGTTTATAGTCATTAACAAGACGTTAGCCTTGAACTGCTAGCTGCGGCTAATGGCTAATAATAACGTGCTACCATTAGTCAAGTACATATCTAACTCCACCCACATCCAAGTCACCAATAGGGAGATCCCAGGCAAGAAAATCCTAATTGCCTCATGCCAACATAGACAATAATTTAAAAATAGTTAAATTAATCTTTCAAACACTTAATTAAACTATTTCCATAATTTTATGTTAAAATAGTGTATTGTTGAATAGGTTTGTAGAATAAGTCTAAAACAAGTTTAACCAAAAAATATTTATTTATCACAATTATGAAGGGTTAGGGTCAGGGTTAGGGTCATTAATGTGGGCCACCGGCCACCATAACATCAGTAACAGGTCAGTTTGAAATGAAAGACACTAACCTGTCAAAATTCAGTTAAATTTTGGGGTCTTTGTTTTTATCCTTGTGGTATCGAAAATGGTATCGAGTATCGAGTATTTTCCTGAGTATCGCTATCGAGTTGAAAATTTTAGTATCGTGACAACCCTATTAGCGACAAAGAAAAACCCCCTGACTCTCCTCTCTCTCCCTACTCTCCCTCCTCTCCTCACCTGGGAGGGGAACAGCGTGCCCACGGTGCTGTCGGCGTCCCCGGCGTGCAGGCCCAGCTCGGCGGGGCCCAGCGGGGGCCCCAGCAGGCCGCCCTCGGCCTCGGGGGGGCTGTCGATCTCGTAGTGGACGTACTTGCAGGTGTCCATGTGGAAGCAGGTGTTGAGGAAGGAGCAGTCGCCCAGGCTCTCGTCCGTGTGCTTGTTGATGATGCGCCTGAGGAGCACA